AGCCGTGGGGTTCACCTCTGGGTGGTGGAAACCCCGTCGGTGTTCCTCCTAGAGCAGCTGTAAACGAGGAGCGGGGTCTGAGGGCCGGGCGTCGGCCTCTCCCTGATCTGTCCAGTCGGGGGAAGGTCCAGCAAGTGTGCCGTGTGCAGACGGGCAGCCCTGGTGCCAGGACCCTGCCCGGTGCTCCCGTGAGAATGGGGGGCGTCCCTGTGTCACCGCCGGGACGTTTGGGCATCTTTTCCCGGCCGAGATGGAGGACAGTCTATGACGTTAGCGGAAGAGGCCACCCTGTCCTGATTCAGCAGTGGGTTCCTGGTGATTGTGTGCGACTCTGATGCCTTCTCCGGTCATTCATGATGGGCCTGGAGCTAGGAGGGGCCAGAGAGCCAGTGAAGAGCCTAGGAGGAGGAAATACTGGCTGGTGGCTGCGGCTGGTGTGGCTCAGTGGTTGTGCATCATCCTGTGCACCGAGGGGTCAGGTTCCCGGTCGGGGGTACAGGCCCGGGTTGTGGGCTCGATCCCCAGGAGGGGATCATTGATGTTTGGGTCTCTCTCTGTTCCTTTCCCTTCCTTTCTCTAAAATCAAGAAAAACGTATGTAAAGAAAACACTGTCTTGTGAGCTCACGGAGCAGGTGGGCTCCACAGGCCCTTTCCCGAGTTCTCTGGAGCCTCTGACGCCCAGGCCAGGCCAGCGCCCCACAAGGCCACCCCACACGGCAGCACCTGTGCCCACAGGCCCCACAAGGCCACCCCACACGGCAGCACCTGTGCCCACTGGCCCAGCGCGTCAGACCATAACGGGGACGGGGGCAGTCGAAAGCGAGGCCGTTAGGGCCCGCCTGGGTGGTGAGACGGTTGCACCCCGACAACCACGGAGCTCACCGAGGGCTCTGAGGCGAGCCTGGCCCCTCTGGCCCTGGGGTGAGTGGCGTCCTGTCCCCGCGGTCTGTCCCCAGGGCAGGCGCCCTCCGCCTTCCTGGCCTTGTCCCTCGGTGTCAGGAAGCCTGTGAGGAGACAGCTGTGAGGTGGACCGTGGTGCTGGGTGAAGCTCTGCTAAGTCAGCCCGTGGACCGGGTCCCCACGACCCGGGTCCCCGTGCACGGCGTTGAGGGCCTGCGGCTTCTTCTCAGGCCGTCATTTCCCTCATGGAGATGGGCTTCGACGAGAAGGAGGTGATGGATGCCCTGAGAGTGAGCAACAACCAGCAGAGCGCCGCTGTAAGTACAGAGGCAGGGGCCGCGGGGGCGCCCCGTGTCGGCAGGCTCCGGGGGGGCTCGTAGGCAGGCCGCTGTTTCGCTTTTAAGGTGAGACAGTGGGTAGATTCTAATTGTATGAGAAGTTTAAGTACTCGGTGGGTTCTGGGCTCTAACCTGTTCACTTTGTTAGACAAGTTCTGGGCGGGTCCCGTTCAGCGAACACCCCCGCTGCTGACGGCACTGCCTGGGGTGTCTCAGCGGTGGCCGGCTCGTCCCTTCAGGTGGCAGAGCCAGCGGTCACATGAGCCGGTCAGGGGAATGCTCACGCCCCAGGAGTGTCCGCACTCCTTTCTCTCCTCCCAGCACCCGGGCAGGCTCTGCGCCCATTCAGCAACGGGGCGGTGGCCGCGCTCAGAAGGCCGGGCGGGTCCCCTCCTACAGCGCCCCGCGTCGGGGCTTTGCTCTCCCGGGAAGCCCCTCCTAGTCAGCGCGGGGCCTGTTGGGTGGTGACCGTCCAGGGCTGACGGGCTGCGCTTTTGCTTGCAGTGCGAGTGGCTGCTGGGGGACCGGAAGCCCTCCCCCGAGGAGCTGGACAAGGGCATCGACCCCAACAGCCCCCTCTTCCAAGCCATCCTGGATAACCCTGTTGTGCAGCTGGGCCTCACCAACCCCAAAACACTGCTCGGTATGTGTGCCTCCCCTGCGCTGCCCAGGAGACCCGCCCAGAATACCCAGATGTTCCTGCGTGATAGACGCCGCAGCCCCGCCCAGAGCGGTCCCTGCGCACGTGGGCCCTCCGTGTGCTGCTGCCTGCGTCACTGGGGCCGGGACCGGGCTCTGCTCCTGTGTGCTGACCCCCACACTCTGAAAACCTGCACAGTGGTCCTCCAGGTGCAGGGGAACTAATAAGCTTGCACCTTGCCTTCAGCTTAAAAAACACTGTATTTAAAAAGA